GTCCGCACAGGCAATGAAAATGTAACGAGAAATTAATAGCTAGATGTTACGGTAATGAAAATTAGACTTTGAATGGGAACCAGTTACTTTATTACCACGTGTCGCACGGAACAAGGAGAGAAGCAATAAATGTTATAGTAACATTTAATGTTACCACCAGCTGGCAGTCGTCATAAATATAATTGTCGTTAACCGTCAGTTAAAAACGGAATCAATTAAAATTCCAGCCGAGGCTTTCTAAATTAACAATTTATAGCGGATGGATTTAAAATATTACCTTATTCAATTTGTAAATTAGGTACGGCGTGCAAAGGAACAAATTATTAACTTGTATAATTTATATTTGTATAAAAAAAACGGTACTTGAAATATTTCAGTAGATTTGGATTTCATGAATGCAACATCTTTATATTTAAAAGAATATGTTGGATTTTTGTATTCAGCGAATCGACCCCTAAATATTTTATAGCCATATTGGGTATCAATTTAAAGCTCTCATCCTCTAGTGCCTTTTGCGGGTTTGGATGATATCCCGTGAAAGCCCTTTATCCTATAGGCTTTTAAAATTTCAGAGTTTGTGCTGAATGAATGCTGCTGTCAATCATTTAACCTTTTCAAGCTTACATTTACAGTTGGTGATGTTTTAGTGAATTCAAGTAAAATATGTCACAAACCAAAAACACCTTGTGTTTATGTTAAATATGTCATTTGTATACTGTAAAGTGTAAAGGAGAAAATTGCTTACGATAGATTTTATGTTTTAGTGTTATGTTTTATTGAATTAAAGTAAAATATTGTAATGGTATTTGTACGTATGTAAAGAAGATAATGACTTACGTTAGGTTTTGTGGAAATTAAGGACTTTGACTGAAATAACGTACTTATCTAAAGAATATTTTTTCAATTAATTTTTTTTTTAATTTTTTTATGCATGATTTCAATGGAAATCGGAAAATCTAATTACAAAGCTATGTTCAGGGTTTGCTTGAAATAATTCGAGTCGGTGATAAGTCAATGATTAATGTATAACGTAAAAAATATATAATTTTCAACTTAACTCAGACCAGTAGAAAATTGTAAATTAATTCGAATATATCACGGATTTTTTGAAGTCACGACGCGACTTACGCTGGCTGCTAGTAATAATTAAGTGCTTGTATTACTATCAAAGCTTGTTGTTCTAGTCTATGGGTAACTACAGCTGTTTCATGTAGCGATTGACTGGTAGATACCAATGTAGACTAGATATCTCATCTACAGGGTGTTCATAAAGGTCTGTCACAAATTTCAGGATGTAGATGACGTAAGCCACCGACAGATTGCGCTGAAAAAAGTCACTTCTGACGAATATGAGGGGTTTTCAACCAAGTAAAAACCTGACAGGATCTCTTATTGCAAGCTTTGTCATCTGCTACGCCCCCTCAACTATCTCGGTAACGAAGAATAAGAACGTAAATAAAATTTTATACACTAGTGCAATCTATGAATGACTCACAGAACTATGTTCTTTTTGATACAAAAATTGTGGCTACTGGTCTTTATAGATGGGATTTCTACTTCAGTATCCAAAAATTAATTGTAGGTCGTACTGTTGAGTCCAAGTTATATTTTCTTCCATACTTTTTGATACCATGATCATTAGTTGTTGGGAATGGAAAGTCTACTTTTCGTTCAGGTGAAAACATGGCGTCTTGGTGGTTCCTAATGAGTAGAAAAACTACAATTAATATTCATTACGACATAACAGATGCACGGCTAATTACGATCACATTAATACAGTATGACAAAGGCGACGGAAGTGATGCCGAGGTGGCTATTAACGCTCACGCTACTTTTCTTCCTCTCAGAATCCTAGAGACAGTTTTGTCCTGTATAATTGTCCTGGTAATAACAGGACGCGTCCGCTGTCCGCTCATTTTGACACGTAATTTTAACGCCCTATGAAAAGAAATACGTTTAATTGCCTGTATTTACAAACGACAAACTTGAAATATATAGTAATTAAGATGTAATTGTGGCAATTTCCGTGGAATTCCGCGTGTAAGACAAAGTCGAGCACCGTTGTGCTTTGATATGACTTTGAACATCTGATAACCATACATGACTCTTACGTACAGAACATACAAGAATTTAATATTCTTTTTTTGAAAATATGTTAACCTTTTCTTTTCGCAAATGATTGGAATGTTCTTGGAAAATTAAGGTCTTGAATTTGAAAAAGAGTTTTGGCTCTACACGGGTATACTATCGTGTAGTATGCATTAAATATATTACCATATCAATGGTGTGGCATAGCATTAAACATACTTTCATTTACATTTATCGTTCTTATGGATTAGCTTAAGTCAGTTTTAAGGTTTTACGTCTGGTTTAGGGGGCATTTGCAAATGCTATGAATCTATATCTTATCATTCTACCAACTTAAGGACGTTTTAAACTGAATTTTACGTATATCTATTGGAAATCTAAATCAAAGTAAGAAAGAAGCATTTTTGTTTTGTTTTTATATATACAATGGAATAAGAAGTTATTGTCAGTTTTAGAATTAAGACTGTCATACTTGAATTTAGCCTCAGACTGAGCTGCTGTCAATTACTAATTTCTGTTGTACGTCAGAGAGTATTCTTTTGTGTATGATTGAAAACATTAACTTTCTAACCATACAGACTTGGAAGTACGACTTTTGTAAACTACAGCGTCTTTTATATCAACTAATGCCAAAACCTAAGGGAATATAATTTTGACAGTATCCGACCACTCTGTGACAGAGTCAACTACGTTATATTCAAAAATCTGATATGAATTGGCCACAACTGGTCCGTGTAGATGAGATGACTACCGTTGTATCTAATACTCCATGCATGCATGTGTTCTCTTTGATGCGTGCCTTGTCCCATTACCGTATAATGGCGGGATGTTTTGAGCGAAAATCGTTTTGACACAAGTCCAAAACTCGTTCGTAGCATAACTATTTAAAACTTCCGCTTCGCTCCTTTATTAATTCTTAGGAAGTTTGGATGGTCTGATAATTTGATGGTGAGTTGGTTAATAAGATGGTTCAATCACCATTTTAACTCAAAATAACTTAATTTTATAGCTAAGTTACACGTTAGAAGCGTGCCTAACAAATCGCTTACAGTTGCTGCTATTTTTCTGATTTTGATTACTAAACTTCAGCATCAAGTATTAAAAGTCAGATATATACATTTTCTCATGATTGTATTTTTTAAACACTTTAAATTTGTTTTCAATAATTACTACTCGTCATTAAAAATAAAAACTGAAGTTATTACTATCTTATCATGTAGAATGTTCAATTAAATTACAATCTTAGCAAACTATGTTTAGTAACAATATTTTTTTAAATTTTATTTTGTGTATTTAAAAGCGGTTTTAATTATTTTTTAAAAAAGCTTTTTGGATGGTAACGCTCAAATCCTTTGTCCTACCTACCATCGTATGGTCGCCATTTCAGTGTAAAGTATAAAAATACAGTATTGAAAGTCTTCTATTGTCAACCTTTTGAGCATTAATGGATAGACTAATGACATATGTTATCTAAGAATGGACCCTAAATAAAGTCCAACAAGCAACTTTCTGATATAAAGGAGTGCGCTTCACCACCCAAACAAAACATCAATTACGATACATCTATAATATTTTTTTGTATAAAAAAGGTGGTTTTAGGTAAAGATGCTTGATACAAAAACTTAATGGAAAATAGAAAACCCAAGGTGGTTCGACCGATCACAGGAAGTTAATCATCTTCCAAACCAGTTCCTAGCCTTTCTCGTCTCGCAATTATTACAATAAGGGCATAATTTATATTTCTTTTAACCGACGTGTCCGGGCCCTCTCACGGTAAATTTAAAACGGTCAATTAGAGAAGACTCGGGAGGCAAAAAGCGCGCAATTTATGTTCACCCGTGCCGCGCTGTATTAATTGGCGTCGTCAGGTTGTGTGGTCTGTGTTGATTATGCATCACGCGTTACAATTGGGTCACCGTCAAACCACGTGACTCTCCACGTCCCTCTTGCAGTGCAAATTTTACCACATGACACCTACAGTGCCATATTGATACCGCATAACTCTCACTGTTATATATTGGCCACGTGACTCTATCAGTGACAAATCTATATCACGTAATCTCTGGTGTAGTAAATGTGACTCTTACAGTAGCGTATTGGAACTAAATTACTCTCATTGTGAAATAAAGTACCAAGTGACTTCCACTAAGGAAAATTCATACCATGTGACTTCTCTGTGTCCCTTACTACGTGACCCAACTAGATCGTCTTGAGTCATGTTGTTATCACAAAGTCTACGTGTATACGACTCTGTGTAACAGAGTCAATAATGCAATAAAAGAAAATTTCACCAAGACAGTCAGTGCAGATGACAGCGAATAGCTACTCGTTATCATAATACAGTACTTTGTTCAACTCAGTTGGCTGTTAACTATGATTTCAAACAAAAAGATCGTCTACAGGCACGGGACCACAGGTAACGCGAATTTCGAAAATCTACTCCACCTAATGCGCGAACAAATTGGCTAAACATCAACAACTTAATTAAAACTAACATGGAACGCAACAAAAGTGGATTTGGCCGAATGCCAGTTATTCTGCGCCCCGTTGATAAGTCGGGGACAGGACGAGAATGTAATTGGTAGGGACGCCTGTAGAGCGTGTGGGCGTCGACAACTACATTACAACCACCTGCTACTCTGTGGATCGTGACCCCGAGACACAGAGTATAAAGTCTCTCAGAGATATGTCGGATGATGTATATGTGTGTGGGCGCTAGAGGTGTATATTCTGCTTATCAGAATCCAACGTTGTTGGTTAGCAGTTGGCACATTGGTGTTTTGTGAAGATGGGCGAATGAGAGAAATAGTAAACGAAGAGAACGCTATTTCTGGTTAGGTTAATTTATGGAGAAATTGCAGCCATATTCATACACTTATCAACTACCATAGTGTAGTATACGGTTGTCATACCTGAGGAACTATCTGAGTTGGGGTCGGCCGCGGCGCGGGCCCAGGTACAGAGGTCGCAGGTAGTGAGGCCGTCGGGGCTGATGCCTTCGTCAAGAAAGTCAGGTCTGGGAGGTGGAGGAGGGAACCCTCCAGCCCAGAGACCTCCGTCGCCCTCCAAAGGCAAGTACCACGTGGTGTCTTCCTCTAGGGCGCCCTCCCACCACTCCGCGTCTGTCTCCGCGGTCATGCCAACACCTGCAAGAAGATAATTGGTAAAAAAAAAGTCATACATAAGATAGGAAAGCATATTACTAAATTCATTACACAACCTCAAAGGTATCAAATGTACTTAAAGATCACAAACCAATATAAAGTATACTCGCTCCATCCTTATTAACGGTAGTACCGCCGCTCGCATTGATCGCCTCTGTACTAGCAAAAATAGGGTCAGATTATCCGCTATGAATTGAAAACCTGGTTGGTTTATACGCACTTGAAGCAATTTTTCATTGGTTTTCTATAAAAATATTATTTTGTTATATCACTCACTTTACATCAACTGGTTTTATATACAAAGAACACGACCTTGGTATAGGGGCCTACCCCTGATTTTCAATTTCATCAATTTCATCATATTAAGTTTATTTGGTTTATTCGACTCATTATTGCGGACAACATGGGTCCTTAAGTCCAAATGAATGAAGATTTACTCATAATGTATTGTAATTTCTACTTGCTGAAACTCACGAGTTTTCAACTAGGTTACAGACGCTCACAGCAACATATTGCAAACCCGCCTTGAGAAAGGTGTTGTTTAACAACTAATTTTTATCACACCAATTTGATTATGATGGTGTCAATGTCTCTGAGGTTGTGTGTATTTTTCACCTCGGCATTCCCATGGCTTGACTATCGGTGTATGACTCGACAGTCGTGGTGGGTCTAGTTCCAAGCATCGACCGTCGGAGTCGCCCAAATTCCAGGATCGTCCTTGGGAGATCGTGAGTTATTAGTCCGCTGATGAACGTTGGACTTTGAGTTACTACACGACATCGGCTTGATCCACAACCATTACATCACGTTAGATACGTTCTCTTACAAAATCCACTTCAATCTTTGGAAAGGGAGTGTATGTGACGAAATTTACAGAAAAATGACTAAAAACTGCACAGTGAAGCGCGTTTTAAGGGGGAATTGAAAATCGTTAGTACACTTTGCTACTTCGTCCTGGTTTTCAAAATACACTCGGTGTTTTACGATACAGTTGGGTTTAGAAGGTATTAGAAAAGAGAAAGGGATACTTTTGGGGGTTTCGAGTTACTACACATCTCTAAAGTAACGGCGAGTTGGTGAGACGTTTGATTGTAATGTTAAAGTGTGTCGCTTGACCAGAATATAAATTGCTGCAACGCATACAAAACCTTGGCATTTTCAACAGTTTACGAAGATTCGACAAATAATAATCACAATCACTTACCATAAGTGCTAAACCTCTCCAAACCCTCTAATTCCAACTCATTTCGTAAACACAAATAATTATAGTATAAAATCACTTCCAAAACATTCCAGTCAATTTCCTCCGAGATGTATGTTCCAAGCGCGGCAGGACGTCAGCGATAATTTCCCAGTCCAGTTTCATGTCAATGATGTCGATTTTCGGCACCGGTCGCCATTACACAGCTAATGTCTACATCAACCGTGCCTCAATATCTATCATTTGCGCCGCCGCACTCTGCCCTTCTGGACGATTCAATCTCGAAGTAATAAACCGTTTTTGCGGCCGTCGTCGTCGCTGTAAACGCTTTCGGCGCGCGTGACAACTCCCGCGATTTTCTACGCGTTGTTTTCCGCGGGTGACGAATGTTTACGACAGGATGACTAGGTGAACCTGGTGAAGAACGATTCTGTCTTCGACGTTATAATTGTCCTAAATCTCACATAGGACGGTTAATATTTAATACTTCTTGTCAAACTACGAAGAAGTTATTGCCAGCGTAATATAGGCCTATCCTTAAAGCAATGCAGGCATGTTTCTAAAGTTTTTTAATAAGCCTACGAGGTTCAAAATAGCGTTTAATCAATACCAGCAGTGTTTGAAGTCCGAAAGACTAAAGAGAAAGAGTTTGGGGAAATATGCATACGAGTTCAAAAACTAAATTTCAGGCAGGAACATCTGGTTTTATTTAGTAACAAAGCATAATATAAGGCATATTAAAATTCATACAGGTCTACAGTATTTCTCTTATAATACGTATGCACAAGTTAAGTTAATAAATGGTTGATGTTGCCAGAACCTTATTGTTTCACGGGTTTGCAGTAACAACGTAGCCTATGCACAATTAGCTTATGTTATCAAAAACGACAAGGACAAAGTAATTAACAACAAAACACCTTTAATAAACTCGGCTGGAACTAACCTTGATTTGATCTTTAGCTGATCCGTAAGCGAATAAATGTAATCTATGTAACAATATGGAGATGGAAAGTGTAGTAGTCAAAGAATTTATTTGGTTCCTTTTCAGATATTAAATTTAGGGTTTAATATGATTATTTTATTAATTCCTCTTATTCCGTAACCGACATCGGGCACGAGAAACATAAACCATTGTCTATACAATCAATACCATTAGCTGGCGTCAAGTAAAAACTCGCCACATCGACAAAAATGCGTTGTTCACATAACGCAAAGCAGGCAAAACAACAATGTACAAAAACAGCTGTTCAATATTCAATCACTTACAAGCAGTGTTGCCAAAACTAGAGGACAAGATTTGTCGTCGTTTGTAAATCATTCTTGTCTTAAAACTTCCCACGTGCATGTGTCTTCATGCAAACCGCCGCGAATATCATTATAAATAACAAGAAAACATTTCCGAAAGCCATTTTAACCGTTGTAAATTAAAAATTACGTCTGGAATCGCTGTGTTAGGGCGTTGAACAATATGGTAGGTGAATACAGATGATTCCTTCTTCTGACGGGTGTGATTTATTGTTACGTGCAATCGTTGATTTATACCCAGCTTTGAATTAAATTGTCCGTGAATATATTGTATTTTATGACTTCGTGAACCCATTAATGTTTTAGTCTTAAATTTTTTAGATATCGTGGTTTTGCAACTTACAGATATTAATTCATTTGTTAACAAATATTGCTCTTCGTGTCTTTTTGATCTTTATTTAACTCTAATAACTCTAACGTTTATAAAACGATATTGCAATATTTCTTAAAAAAAAAGAAATCACAAGCCAAATGCCAAATTGCCATATGATTCCCAATCAATGTTTCACAATTATTACTAAGCAGTCACATGAACTGATAAAAAGGTGAACGTAATAAATTCTTTGAACATACCTCTTATAGAAAACACCTATGTAAAATAAAGTTCTAGGCAACAAACATTTCACAACAGTTACAGTTCACAATAATTGTCTGGATAGTGGAGTGATAAGTGATTACCTTAAAATCAGAGGTTCGCTAGTTTGATCCCAATCGGGTAAACTTCTGGACTCACTTACCATTTGTCATTGAGCTATCTATAATTATGCTTATCTATATTAGCTTATCTATAATCTATAATTGGTGCTATTTAATAAAAGGACGACGTCAAACACAAAAACGTCTCTTAAAAAAATGTAAAATCCAATGAAATAAAACATAAAAAATAAAATTGCATTCGGCAAAGATTCTCTAGCTAACTAGGGATAAAGCAAACTCATGGGAAACTAACTATATTGAAACAAAAACTGCACTAAACACACATACCTGGGAACCGCAATGATGTTGGCTTGCCCAAGTGAAACGGACTTTATTGTTTGTTTCTTCTGCTACTCTTTAACAGCCAATTTAAATGTAAACCAAGCCCAACCAGTAATTAGTTGCTGTTTTCCACTAGAGTGAGTTCTCAACTTTTTCTCCCTTTTTATCTGTCTACATATTTCAATTTTACACACTTTCATGGAATGAACGTGTTGTGTTGTTATGTCTGTTCTGAGAAAGAGAGTGAAAATCGTTTTGGTTTTATGGTCACGTGGGATAGAATTTGTAAATACTATGTGGAACAAAGTAAAATGAGTTTAAGTACTTTAGACTTGAAATGTATAATGATTTGTTTTGAGGGAATTATTACTCTAGGGTTAAAAAATGTGTAAATAAAATGTTTGCTGGCTTTGTACTAGTACCTGGGGACCATGGCTCGTTGTAGTTTATTTCGATTGTAAAAGCAATATAATACACTAATTTTGGCTTTTATTATTTAAGTTTCAGTGGGTTTAAATAATTTATTATGCTGGAAGTTTTAACCTGGTAATCCTCAAGGCATTAATTTATTTTAAAGTCGATGAAAGGTCACTCGTTTATAATAGCCTATACTTGCATAAACATTGTTTTGACATTTTGTTTAAATTTAAACAGCTGATTACTTTGGGGATTAAGTTTTAGTAGGAGAGCCAAGTTAAATAATCAGTATTTGGTCGGAACTTGGAACTATTTTCACCTATATTGAGTTATATTCAGTGGAATCTTTGCTCAATAGTAACTACTGACATTTTTCCTTTTGTACTGTGTTTTGTAATTTGCTAGTACACTGTTGGTAGATGGCTTATTATGAACACATGTTACAACTTACAAGTCTTTTGTTTACTTTTTCCTTGTTATTTTGTTCAACCAACATGGTTACTTAGCAACACATAAGCCCAATGTTAAAAAGTTTTTACTTCCAATTTAATTTTTTTACGTAATTAGAATTTTTTGGCAGTTTTAACTGCATTTAACACGTTTTTAGGCAAGAAATTACTATTAACAACATTTGAAGGAAATCGTCAAAGCCGTTTTCGATATCTATGTGCAAGCATACATACATACAAGCAAACATTGCTCATATTAGAGTATAGGATAGGATAAGTTTTAAGTTTATTAAGTTATTTTTATTCATAAACCTTTTTACACTTATCATGCAAGAGCTTTATTCTGGCACGCTAGCATAGTAAAATACTTTATTTGTTGAAATGTTCCTGAAGCTGTGATTTCCGTTTGAATTTATTGAAAAATCTGTAATTTTCATCAGCGAATTGGTGGTTTAATTCAATAACGTTCATTTTATTCTTTAACTGCTAAACAACGTTCAGGGAATGGAATGCCTGGTTGTATCTACAGTCAAAGGTTACACCCATGTGTACATACGCCGTAGCCTTGTGAGGTGTTTGACAGTTAGAAGGCAACCGCTTTCTGACAGCCTGAGATATATTAATCACGGTAA